CACCACATCAACAGCCTCAGTTTCTCCATCATTTTGTAATAATTTCTCAAGATAAGGTTTAAGCGCTTCAGAAAGATATCCTCTTTCGGTGTTTGAGTGTTCACCTAATTGATAAAACCGTATTAACATTTTTTACAAACATGTAAATACCTTATAAAGAGAACTTACATAAGATGACACTAGTGTTTTTACTCAATGCAGAAAGTACATCGTGATGTGACATTTCTCCGGTGAAATATAAGTCTGCTGTAGCCGGCGAAAGTACACTTGAGCCTTTTTTATTTTTTAACCATTGTTAATGTTAAGTTTAGATAAAATAAAAACGACAAATTAAATAAATTCAATACAAAATTAGCTATTATTTTACCAGATCCTGCACAAATTCCAACAGTCGAAATCAATTTATTAAAGGTTGAACTATGACGTTCAGCCGTAGCTACTCTAACTTTATTATTTAACAAATTTCATTAATTGCAATAAGAAATTGTCAATTTTAAATTAAATAATGACTAAGATTAATTACCATACTGAAGATTCAGATGTCGTTTAACTCGCTCTATAATTGTCGAAAGAGGAGCAGGCTGTGCTAATGTAAACAGTCTTCCAGACCCAGCTGTTTCGTGACCTATTCGTAATCAATTCCATTTTTAATTTTTGAAAGAAACATTTCGATTGACAAAATAATAGACAATTTTGGGACGAGACCTGGAGGTGGATTTTCAGCCAAAGTTATAGGCTTAGAAGTTCCAGTTCCAAGTGCTTTTGATAACCAATCATTCACTATTTAAAAAAGCAAATTATAGCACCTCATTCGAGAATATTTGACACATCCGCTGTCTGATGCATACCACCACCAACACAAGAATCCACGGCAGTATGCGGACTAAACACTCCAATTCCTTTCGCCACACATTTCAATATTATAGCCTGTTTAACATCACTCAAATTCAATCGTTTGAAAGACCGGAAAATTGGTGGATGGTATGCTACTATTACACCGACTTTTGGGTCTGCTAAAGCCTCCTCTAGTACTGATGAGGTTAGATCGATTGTTAAAAATACTCGAGAGGAATCTGGGCGCGGATATGGAGGTTCAACAAGTAGGCCAACGTTATCCCAAGATGATTCTGCAAGTGACAGAGGTGCTATGTTTTCTAAAGCACGAATTACACGGGATAATAAGATAGACATTATGTGCGAAGGTTAAGGTGCGTACAAGAAATATTCAATTGAATTAATTCAGTTGCAAATGTAGATGATAATAAATAATTTAATTTCAATAAACTTTAATTTTTTTTTTTTTTTGTAAAATTGAAGATATTTCAAATTAGTTTGCTTTCTGATAAACCACGAATAAAAATATAGATCGTTTTTGCCTTATATTTCACTTTCGTACTTTGTTCAGCCGTCCGTCGTAACTTTGAACATAATCACTATTATATTACAAGGAAACTTTTATAAAAAAAGATACATTTTATATATTTAGCAATATTAAAGACTATAGCAAAAAATAGAGAAAAAAACATTCTCTATCAGTAGGTGTCCTAAATGTCCTTCATATCAATTTTTAAACTCGGAAAGTGAAGAAATTCGAATTTTTGTCATCATTTCTGGTTTTTTTTTTTTTAGATTAAGATTCTGAAATAATTACCTCGAAATAGAGATACACTTCCTTGAGAACGATAAAATTATTATTATGATTATCTAGTGATGCAGATGATCGGCTTATGGTTAATTCTTCAAAAAAATTTAAGATCATATGACTTAAGTCTATGTGGTGATTGGGCGTTATCCGATAACGATTTTCTTAGAAAATTGACTTAATCGAAGAACCAGTCAATCAGACAACTTAGATGATCAGTTGAGGATACTGGCAAATACTAACTATAAATCAAGGCCCGAGTATATGTTGGGTCTCTATGAATGCAATTTTTCTCTAAATACATGCTGCTAACTGGTTCCAACGAATTGTACTTAGAGAGTGTTAATTGTATATAGTTGTTGACAAAATTGTCATATATACTACGGGCAACCGACATGACAGTCGAAATAGCGGGCATAGGCGTTATTTCGAATTTTGGCCCGAATTAAACTTAATTCGGGCCAAAATTAGAAATAACGTCCAGCCGATTTTCGAAAGTTTATGTCGCAAACACTAGCAGTTTTTGCTCTCTTAATAAATTAAGGCCATGCAAATTAATTGATTTGAGTGTGTGAGTGAAAACCTGGAAATAGATTGAATGATTTATTATGACTGGTTACAGGTTTTCACTCATACACTCATTTCATAACCCAGCCGGGTCAAATTTTGGAAACTTTTAAAAAAATATTTTTTTAATAACCGGGTGAGTTTTTGAAAAATTTATTAACTATTCCATATTTAGGTCATTATATATACTAAATGATAATTTAAACCTTCCACGTGAGTTAGGGCATAACCTTAAAGATCGCGATGAACAACATTTCCCATTTCTCAATCTTGGACTTCTCTTGGAATAAGTTATCGACCATACCTTAAAAAAAAAAAGATTTAATTATATTGTCATTGAACAAACGATAATAATATAAAGAGACATACTTCTGAAATTCCCATTCTCTATTGTCTAAAGGACAGACTTGACGAGTCTTTAGCCAACGGGATATACAATGGAAGTGAAACGCATGATTACACATTCCCCAAGCTCTGTTACAATTAATATCCATTACATAGTTTTACGTTAAGATCAAAATTATTAATCATGAAGGGAATTTAGACAAAAACCTACACTGTACACTCTTCGCTAGTAGCAGAAGCTTGATTAGCTTGACATTCAATACCTTTTAAATTTCATTAATTATCAGCGCTCTAATCTTTTTATCCTCAGAATTTAACAAATATCTAAATACTTTAATAAAATTGATCAATTTTACTTACATAGATCCATAATATGATTTCGGCAAATAGCGCAGTTATCAACTACAATGTCTATAGAAATAATTAATTTTAGCGGGCGAATATTAATGAAAGATCATATTTATTTTATGAAATAAAATTATTTTACCCCAAGCCCACAAGGCTACGGCATTCCACTAAATAAAAGAAGTCGGTAAAATATTTAATCTTTCCTTATCAACTGTTATACTTTCGAATTTTCTCGGACAAACGACTCCGTAAAAAATAAACCAGTTAATACCTTCTTTACTTCAAAGCGCTTCTTCGAGCTATCTTTAGCCTTGCCACTACTGCTAGCTTTTGATCCAGCAGGCGCGTCAATCTCCATCGGAGTGCCGTAATTACTCATTTCTTTTTATTTGTGTATTTTTAAGCTATGAAAAATAAGCTTGCGTTCAAACTTTTATACGTATTGAAATAATTGGATCATGTGTAACTTTATAGTTGCTTTTAACGTTAAATGCACACACAGGGTTGGACTTTATGTAACTATTCATATTCTATGCGCAGCAGATTCTCTAAAATTTGATTTTTTAAAAACTTCTAGCAATGGTTTCTCAATGACTACTAAGTCAAATTTAATATTTTTTTTTTAATTTTAATTCTATAAACTTGTAAAATGAAAATAAAAAAATTATTAAGATTTGTCTGTTAGTTATCAAGAAATATTTATATAGATTTTTTAAAAAATATAAACTTTAAACAATTTTTTTTTTTTGAATATTAATGGTGACTTTAAACAATTTTTTGACAACTGTATTAGACAAATTTAATAAATTTTTTTTATTTTAATTCTACAGATTGTAAAATTTTTTAAAAAAATTATCAAATTCTATTAGATAGTTGTTAAAATATTTTTAAATTTTAAAAACATTTTATTAAATTTGTTTTAGTAGTTAAAAAATTAAAACTTAATAATTACCAAATCAAACTTAATATATTTTTTTTATTTTACAAGTTTATACAGTATAAAAATAGCAAAAAATATTTATTTTTTTTAAAAAAGCATCAAATTTTAAAATTATATATATATAGTTAAACTTTCTTAAATACAATCTCTCTAAATGCATATCTTATAAAAATCTTCTCTAAATGCATGTCTTTTCTTGGATCTAGTGTTCCGAAGTTCAGTTCAGTTCAATTTAGGTTCAGGTTCAAGTTCAATTGAACCTGAACTAAACTTTAAATTTTGCAGATC